AACTGACTTCTAAGATCACAAAGGTATAAAACTAGAAATAAACCATACAAAGAAAACAAAAAGCCTCACAAACACATGGAGGTTTAACAACATGCCCCTAAATAATCAGTGGATGAATGACCAAATTCAAACAGAGATAAAGTAATATATGGAGACAAATGAAAACAACAGCACAATGCCCCAACTTCTGTGGGATGCAGCGAAGGCAGTTATAAGAGGAAAGTATATAGCAATCCAGGCCTATTTAAAGAAGGTAGAAAAATCCCAAATGAATAGTCTAAATTCACAATCATTGACACTGGAAAAAGAACAAATGAGGCACAAAGGCAGCAGAAGGAGGGATAATAAAGGACAATAAAGATCAGAGATGAAATAAATAAGACTGAGAAGAATAAAACAATAGAAAAAATTAATGAAACCAAGAGCTGGTTCTTTAAGAAAATAAAACAAATAAATAAACCCCTAGCCAGATGTATTAAGGAAAAAAGAGACTCTACATACATCAACAGAATCAGAAATGAGAAAGAAAAAAACAGGACAGACACCTCAGAAATACTAAGAATTATTAGAGAATACTACGAAAATCTATATGCTAACAAACTGGATAACCTAGAAGAAATGGACAATTTTCTAGAAAAATACAACCTTCCAAGAGTGACCCAGGAAGAAACAGAAAATCTAAACAGACCAATTACCAGCAATGCAATTGAATTGGCAATCAAAAAACTACCCAAGAAAAAAAAAAACCCTGTACCAGACGGATTCACCACTGAATTTTATCAGACATTTAAAGAAGACATAAGTTTTCCAAAAAATAGACTAGGAGGGAATACTCCCAAACTCATTCTATGAAGCCAGCATCACTCTAATACCAAAACCAGGCAATAACAACACAAAAAAGAAAACTACAGACCAATATCCCTGATGAACATAGATGCAAAAATACTCAACAAAATATTAGCAAGTCAAATTCAAAAATACATCAAGGCGATCATACACCATGATTAAGTGGGATTCATCCCAGGGATGCAAAGATGGTACAACATTCGAAAATTCATCAACATCATCCACGACATCAACAAAAAAGGAAAAAAACAACATGATGATCTCCATAGATGTTGAAAATGCAATCGACAAAATTCAACATCCATTTATGATAAAAATTCTCAACAAAATGGGCACAGAGGGCAAGTACCTCAACAGAATAGAGGCTATATATGACAAACCCACAGTCAACATTATACTCAACAACGAGAAGCTGAAAGCTTTTCCTTTAAGATCAGGAAAAAGACAAGGATACCCACTTTCCCCACTTTTATTCAACATAGTTCTGGAGGTCCTAGCCATGGCAATCAGATATCACAAAGAAATAAAAGGCATCCATATTGACAAGGAAGAAGTTAAACTGTCACTATTTGCAGATGACATGATATTGTACATAAAAAACCATAAAGACTCCACTCTAAAACTACTAGATCTAATATCTGAATTCAGCAAAGTTGTGGGATACAAATTTAATACACAGAAATCTGTTGCATTCTGATACACTAATGATGAACTAGCAGAAAGAGAAATCAGGAAAACAATTCCATTTCCAATCACATCCAAAAGAATAAAATACCTAGGAATAAACCTAACCAAGGAAGTGAGACATCTATACCCTCAAAACTACAAGACACTCCTAAGAGAAATTAAAGAGGACACTAATAAATGGAAACTCATCCCATGCTCTTGGCTAGGAAGAATGAATATTGTCAAAATGGCCATCCTCCCTAAAGCAATCTACAGATTCAATGCAACCCCTATCAAAATACTGACAGCATTCTTCAATGAACTGGAACAAATAGTTCTAAAATTCATATGGAACCACAAAAGACCCTGAATAGCCAAAACAATCCTGAGAAGAAAGAAAAAGGTAGGGGAGATCGCACTCCCCAAATTCAAGCTCTATTATAATGTCACAGTAATCAAGACAATTTGCTACTGGCACAAGAAGAAACCCATAGATTAGTGAAACAGAATAGAGAGTCCAGATATTAACCCAAGCATATATGGTCAATTAATATACAATAAAGGAGCCATGGATATACAATTGGGAAATGACAGCCTCTTCAACAGCTGGTGTTGGCAAAACTGGACAGCGACATGTGAGAGAACGAAACTGGATTACTGTCTAACTCTACACACTAAAGTAAACTTGAAATGGATCAAAGACCTGAATGTAAGTCATGAGACCATAAAACTCTTAGAAGAAAACATAGGTAAAAATCTCCTGAATATAAACATGAACAACTTCTTCATGAACATATTTCTACTGGCAAGGGAAACAAAAGAAAAATGAACAAGTGGAACTATATAAATCTAAAAAGCTTCTGCACAGCAAAGGACACTATTAACAGAACAAAAAGGCATCCTACAGTATGGGAGAATATATTCATAAATGACACATCTGATAAGGAGTTGACATTCAAAATATATGAGCAGCTCATGCACCTCAACAAACAAAAAGCAAATAATCCAATTACAAAATGGGCAGATGATCTGAACAGAGACTTCTTCAAAGAAGAAATTCAGATGGCCAACAAGCACATGAAAAGATGCTCCCCATCGTTAATCATTAGAGAAATGCAGATTAAAACCACAATGAGATATCACCTCACATAAGTTAGGATGGCCACCATCCAAAAGACAAACAACAACAAATGTTGTTGAGGATGCGGAGAAAGGGAAACCCTCCTACATTGCTGGTCGGAATGCAAATTAGCTCGACCATTGTGGAAAGCAGTATGGAGGTTCCTCAAAAAACTCAAAATAGAAATACCATTTGACTCAGGAATTCCATTCCTAGGAATTTACCCAATGAAAACAGGATCACAGATTGAAAAAGACATATGCTCTGCTATGTTTATTGCAGCTCTATTTACAATAGCCAAGAAATGGAAGCAACCTAAGTGTCCATCAGTAGATGAACGGATAAAGAAGATGTGGTACATATATACAATGGAATATTATTCAGCCAAAGAAGGAAACAAATCCTACCATTTGCATAACATGGATGGAGCTAGATGGTATTATGCTCAGTGAAATAAGCCAGGTGGAGGAAGACAAGTATCAAATGATTTCAGTCATCTGTGGAGTATAAGAACAAAGCAAAAACTGAAGGGAAAAAACAGCAGCAGACTCACAGAACCCAAGAATGGACTAACATTTACCAAAGGGAAAGGGACTGGGGAGGATGGGTGGCAAGTGAGGGAGAAGGGGAATAAAGGGCATTATGATTAGCACACATAATGTAGGGCGGTGCATGGGGAAGGCAGTATAGCATAGAGAAGACAAGTAGTGATTCTACAGCATCTTACTATGCTGATGGACAGTGACTTTAATGGGGTATGTGGTGGGGACTTGATAATGGGGGGAATCTTGTAACCACAATGTTGCTCATGTAATTGTATATTAATGATACCAAAAAAAGAAATAATACAAGGAGTAAAAAAAAAACATAAGTAAGAATATAAAAGAATTGGTACAAATATGAAATATAATTTCTATTAAAAGATAATTTCTGATTGGATTAAAAATACTGTATAAATGCTGAATATAAAAGACTTATACAAAATGAAAGAACAGTGAAGGTTAAGGGATAGAAGACAGTGTACCAAGCTGATAATAACAGTAAAAGAAGTAGGCATGACAATAACTGTAGACAAAAAATAATTCAATTGTTATATTTTATGTATTGTAATGGTTATTTTTTAAAAATCCTTGTCTCTTAGAGATACAAACTGAGCAGTTTTCAAATTAAATGATATGATGGATTTGCTTTAAATCTAGAGGTTGGTGTGGGTGGGATGGGTAGTAGGTAAAGGTTTGAGTGAATTAAATTTGGCCATATGATGATCTTGAAGCTGGGTGACAAAGGGCTTTATTATACTATTTTCTATACTTTTGCAGATGTCTGAAATTTAAAAATAATTTTTTAAGAATTCAATTGATAAAAATTTCAAAGAGAAATTGATGAATCCATAATGATAATGAAAACCATTTAAGACTTATTAGCAATCAATGATAAAGTAGAACAGAAATAGTAAAGATACTGATGATCCACCTATATAATCAGCAAGCTATACATTTTATTTACTCTCACACACACGCACATTTATTGTGCCTGACAGAGACTATATATTCTTTTCAAATACTTGAGGAATATCCCAAAATCTGGGGGCACACATTAGGTGACTCTATATGCTCAGGTATTATTTAACCCTTACAGTTAGAATATACTCACATGATATTTGTACAATAAAAATATATTTAAAAAGAAAATAAACATTTATAGTTTATTCAGTGTCATAGGTTTTTAAAACATATCATATCATTTCATTTATATAAAACAATGAGGCTGGTATGAAAGTGAGGATAGACAGGATCTGTCATTTATCCCAGGTCACTGAGATGATGAGTCATAAGTGGCTGTCAGTACTTGTACTCAGTTCTCTGAATGCCAGAGCCTGGTCAACTTGCCTTACCACACTGCCACACAAAATCCTTGGTAAGAAGACTCAAGATTGTGACAGCAAATGGATATAGCAGAATATTATTAAAAGAATATAGAATTTTACCAGAGGGTGTCCTCCCATCCAGCTTTATCGAGAATCATTCTTTTCTTAAGGCTTATCCATTTTATTTACAGGAATTTTTACAAGTACTGTGCTGAGTGTTTTTTTTTAACATGATGCAGCTGTTTAAATCCCTGGAGTCTGATTTTACCAGAGAAGAGAGTTAAACTTCACTATGTCTAACCTGGGGGTTAAATAAACAGAAAGATTCTTTCAGGCCAGTGGTTATTTATTTCTTCAACCACCAGATGTTGCCTCTATGACTGAGGGGAAAGATGTACTTTCTGATACAACCACCAGCCCTGGACAGCACTTCACTCGGAGAGGCCAAGTCTCTTAGAGGACAACTTGAACAACTCTCTTCATGTAAAATATTTGACTTACCCAATTCGTATTTTCAGCATGCCACTGAATAACTCAGGGTTATTGGAGATGATCCAGCCAATATGGATGACCAGTTCCTGCTGAATGACTGCCTCCCTCTCATCATGGATATTACACTTATAGTAGATGATGTTCTTAATCACTCTTGGAGACAAAGGATTAGAGATAACCTCTTCTTCATGACCAAAGGCACCCAGAGTTACCTATAAGTGACAGAATTTTATTGTAAAAATTTCCTAGCTACTAAAAGATACAAGAAAAAAACTTAAGGCTCAAGATGACTGGCAGGCTGAAATTACTCTACTTGAGCTAGGGAATTAGGTAGAATAACTCTTCCTGCTATTTATTAAAATGGCTTTCAAAGCATAACTCCCACTGGAGTTCGTGATGGTTCATAGTCTGGTCTGAAATATAAGGGTAGGTGAGGGTTCCAGTTAGGGGAGTGGAGGTGAGTGGATAAAAGCAGGGAATGAATATAAATAACTATTAAAATTATTCTGAATGACTTTTTCCCCCACAGAAACCAGAATACATTGAGTAAAATTTTTTTAAGAACTCAATTGATAAAAATTGTATTACTGTCCTGTACAGTTGACACAATTAAGTATTTGAGAGTATATTTTTTGCTTTTTTTATAGTTTCTCATGTGGAACTTTTTGCTCTGTAACAACACTGTACTCTTTTCAAAGGCAGGTGCTAACTCATATACTTCTAATGTAGCAATGTAGCCCCCACTTTTCCTGTAATAGTGTTAGGCACATAGTGAGTATTAAAGAACTTGTTGGTAATCTTTCTCCTGTGGAGGGGAACACATGAGGCCACACATATGTCTAGGGAATGAGAAAGCAGGAGGGAAATGACAACGAAAATGCAAAGCAAGAAGTGTCACTGAAACTGGCAAGAGGAATACTCTGGTCTCTCTCTCTCCTCTATGCTTGGCATTTTGCCTCCCAGAAGAGTCTGTGGCCCTTCCTACCAGCTCATTCCCTCTCCCTGTCTTCCATGTGCAGAACATGATTATATAAAGTCAGGAAAAAGAAGAACATATCAAAGGGCCCTCGTGTTTTCTGAGATGAGGGGAGAGAGAAGAATATGGGGTCTCTCCCCCAACTTCATGATGGAGTGAAACTGAGAACTGCTTGTTTATTACACTAGAAGTGGGGCTCACCAGTTAGTCCAAGCATGATAACTTTTATTAAAATATCAGTGTGCAAAGAAGAAAACAAACAAAAGGCACATCATTGCCTCTGGAAGCAATGATGACTAGACCACTGTTTCATTCCAGAGAGCTTATGGTGATCGGAGAGTTCTTTGCAGAAACAATATTACTTCAGTTCTCAGGGTGTGTTTCATAAATGAATGTAAACTTTGCTCCATCCCCATTTTTTTTAAAGGGGTGGGATGCAGTCAGTGAATGGATGAATGGACCTCAAAACCTGAAGTGGAGCTGCCAGCCTCCAGGCTTACCTAACTCTGTAAGTGACAGTTTTTCTGGGAAATATGCTGATCTGAAGGACAATGGCCCAGCCTCAGAACACGCCCAAAGTCTTCCAAGAGGTGGGGAGCAGAATCTTGGGATCACAGAGGCTGCCAGCCTCCACTAGATAGTATACAGAGTGGACATGGCCAACCCTAACCTACCCTCTTCTCCAAGTGTCAGGTGCCAGAGACCTCAAAGACCTCCAAAACCTTCTCATATATTCATATTCAGTGGAATTAACTGTATTTTCAGATATACTACAGGGACCTAAAATTCAATGGAAAACAGCTTCCCAAAGTCTGTTAACTTTCAGAGTGGCTCAGTTCAGGGAAACAAGACTGTGACTGGAGGTAAGGACTGCAGTGAGGACAGGCACCTAGGTAAGTTACCTCCTATACCTTGGCCTACTAAGCTGGTGAATGAGGGTGAAAATTCCACCTTTTAATAATTTGGAGAAAACAGAAAACAACATACGTGAAAGGCATTTAACTTTTTCTCAGGAGTTTTTAATTAGTATAATATTTTTTTCATCGTTATTAACATTACATGATAAGATAGCTTATTATATAACATTTCAAAAGCTGGATGTCAGGATTAAATAATATCAATTTTAATGAATTAAGAGCCCTGAAATATGAGCAATGGGTTGATTACATTAAAGAGGTTTAAAGTATTTCATATTATTGAAGCTATTATATTCCTAGGTTAATTGTCAAGAAAATACAATAAAGTATACATATCTCAAAGACAAGAAAGAAAGCAAACAGGTTTTCATTCCAACCAAATGATGATTCAGCCAGGTAATTAGAGCATAAAGAAAACAAAACAAGCAATGAGCAGTCACATCCCACTCTGCATTCCCACATGCACAGGCTCAATTCAACCCACATTCCCCAGGTGCCCGCTCAAAGCCAGGCCCTATGCTGGGCATACTGGGACAGGTGTTGGACAAGACCTGGGCCCTCACCTCCAGGGGCTCACAGCCTACCCTGAGGTGAGAGACACATATTCAAATGAACTGGGATCCAGGGCAGTTGTGAGAAGTGTTAAATGTCTGGTATGAGAACCCAGAGGAGAAAGGGACCACTGCTAACTGGAGATGGCTCTGTGGGAGGAGCTAACAAGAGCTGGCCATGGTGGGAAAGCAGAAGCTAGATGGCAAGGTGACCTAGTGGGATCTGGGGGAGCCAAAGCATTTCTAAGGGGGAGAAGAATCTCATGTGGAACAGAAGGGAAAATGTGCCCTTCACTATTCACCTGTCTTTACTCTGCCTATCCTAAATCTGTCTGGAGTACTTTAGTAGGTTATTATTCCACATTCTGTGTCAGTAACTTCACTCATCTCAAGTTAACATAGGAATTGAAAATTACAGCTCTGAGTTGCAGCAGGAAAAAGGAATGGCCTATTTAGTAACCACATCTTTAAAACTAGAGTTTGCTTGGGGAAGGAGTGTTCTGTAGAAATGCCTGAGCCATTGTTAATGTGGTTCTGAGAGGCCTATAACACTGAGGCTTGCCATATTTAAAAGCAAGGATCCTACCCAGAAACCTTTGTGACTGTGACCAAGTGAGAGTCTGAAAATCAGATACTTACCTGTTTGCCCTGCACTAAAACATTAGTAATGGATGGGGCCAGGCTGTCCACTACTTTACTTAAAAGACTTGCTGCACGGCGTACAACCGACCTGGGGGCAAAGAAGAGTTTAACATATCTAAAAGATGATGAATAAATGGGACCCCTAGTTGGGGAGATTTAAAAATATGCACAATTAGGTCCTCACATAGAAGTCAGAGGAAACACGGAGCCCAGGACCCTGGACCTAACAGATGAAATCTCCCAGACTATAGGACTATCCAGAATTAGGCAGGGATCCCTCATTCTCATCTCTGTCACGAGCATTATTCAAGCCATTATCAATTTAAAGAAGAAAGAAAAGGCAGCCTAACTATCTCTTTGATGAAGAATGGGGTAGGAGAAGAAATTGACTATTCTGATCCTGCATTAAATAATTTATTATGAAGTCTGTCACTGATACATGTCATCTATTCCTATAGTTACTTTAAATCATATTTCTCTTGGTGCCTAGATAACCAAATCCCTGGATTAGAGGACTCACTCAGTACTCAATTTTAGGCAGTGATACAGTGAAATAGCAGTGGGTTTTTTTTTCTTGATAAAGTCAGAATGTTGGAGGAAGGAATTCACACTGTTATTTTTATGTTTCTGAAAAAGTCTTAGTCTGCAGGGAGTGCAGATTTTTTTTAAAGCACAGCACATGCAAATATGCATTTTTTCCCTCAAAAGTTAAAATTCATATGGAACTTTTAGATGGAGAAAACAAAAAGAGAAATGTTGGTTTAAAACTGTTTTCTTGTATTTCAGGATATCCGTGAAAGCTGACCTACAAAAAGCATTTATATTCCTTAATTTCAACATAGATGGACTAGTAGAAAATCAAGTCAATAACTGATAAAGTTAGTGAAACAAACACTTCCTACTTTTAGAGAAGCTTTCATCCACACACTATAAAGACCAGAGACATGTTTAACCCTCAGAATGCAAATAAGCCCACACATCTCAAGCAGCTTGAGTTTTCCCACATTCTGTGTATGTTACCTGTTTCCCATGTACCAGAAAAGTAGTAATGTGTGGGGCTATAGAGGAAGAAAATTTCTGGGTAAAGGCAGCCCCGTAGCGTACCGCCAGCCTGGGTGGGTCAGTGGAAAGCCACAAAATGGAAAATACAGTAAACAAAACTTCAGGAGTTGGTTTTTTCAAACATAAAAGTCAGTACTCTCAAGATTTGCTAGTTAATAATTTACCTAAAATACAAGTATAATAGATAAAGCAAATCAGGTTTGCCTTGTCAAAAAATAAGACAATAAGACTATAGACTGTATTTAAGATTTACTGGCTAAAAAAGCAACATCTACTTACATGCTTAACTATGGTGAGAATTTACAGTGAAAATTTGAGATTTAACCATACGATTATTACATTATTTCTTTTGGATCTATGTTTTCTATAAATCATAGAGTTGAAATACTCCTAAGAGACTGTTTTGTCTAATCCCCTTATTTTAGATATTGGAAACCTGAGGGAGTTTCTTATGGTACTATTTGAGATTTATTTTTTTCAAAATTAGATAATAATAGGTCATTAAAAAATATATACACTCTAACTTTCACAATGTTAGATTCTACTAGTAAAACTGCTAGAATTACTTCAAAATGTAGAGGGTCATGCATTTAGGCATACCTACTCCATTGTGAACTGAAATAATTTTATCTCAACTTAACTAAATTTTTTTTCCTCAATCCCTGGAAAGAGACTACCTCTACAGAACATATTAGTTATTTTTCATGAAGCAACTATAACACTTCGATTCATTTAACTTGAGTGGTGAGAGAACTGCCTTCTATTATTTTTGCCTATGATTAAGTGAACCATTGGTCTCTCTTCATGGCCTATGCTAACAGAACAGGTTTCCTGAATATAAAATAAAACCTAAAGCACCTTGCTGGGACAGAGGAGGTGCAGGGCAGGAAACAGTCATTGGCATATCATTCCAGACAATACTCTCCATCCAGGTGCTATTCCTATGGAGGTCTTTATTCCCAGACATTTTTAAGAGAGCCATGGTACAATGGAATGGAGGCAGATCTGCAAATAGTAACAGAGTCCAAGTGCTATAACCTCAAAGTTTTAAAGTAAATATTAGGATGAATACAACTATTTTTAAGATTGGTCTATTATCTTTAGGCTATTAAATATAACAACACAACAAATAAAATGTAATGACAAGGACACTAATACAAACCAAAGCTTTTTGCTGCCAGCTCTTCTATAGATTCTCTCAATGTGATCAGAAACAGTACCTAGACATTGGATAGTAGAATCTTTATTAAAACAGCTTTTAATTAAATGCATATTACTTACTCTCCTTTAAAGAAATCACTCTTGATTTTCATTTTGTTCCACTAGAAAGAATCCACATCCATTAATGTTCTTCTGAATTGTCTGACATATTCAAATACATAACCCAAACAAAGTAAGAATGTCCCCAAGCCCTTGCTACTACTTAGTTTGAGTATGTGATTTTGGTGAGTACTTTATTTCCTGAAATTTACTGTTTTCTTTATTAATATGCAATCTAATTTTTTAACAGATAAAAAATTTATTGCAGAAAACAAAAAACAGAATATAGCAAATTGAACAAATACTGTACACTCTGAATATATGAATCTTTATTTATCTGTTCAACAAAACTTAATATAGACTCTATTATGTGTGTCATTTCAATATACAATAGTGCTCAAAAGACACAACTGGGTTCATTATCTGGCTTCATAATGGGTTTGTCAGTAAATCAACCATATGACAGGACAGAGTACCAAAAAAAGAAACAAGGATAAACATCTTTATCATTTTACCATGAATTTGTGTTTATAGCTTTATAACAAATTGGATAAAATTATATAGAGATTCTGTAAATGCTTATGTTTTTCAATGTATCATAAGCTTTTACAGATTAAAAACTTTAAAGTCAAATATCTAAGTAAAAGATGAATATTATTCCTGTTTATGAAAGTGGTTTAAAAATAATCCTTTCCACATTTTCATATAAACTACATTTGACCCTTGAGCAATGAGTTCGAACTGTATGAGTCCACTTAACATGCAAGTTTTTTTCAATAAATATATTGGAAAATTTTTGGAGATGTGCAACAACTTGAAAAAATCATTTTCTCTAGCTTACTTTATTACTGTAAGTATACAGTACATATAACACAAAATACGTGTTAATTGACTATCATGTTCCTGGTAAGGCTTCCAGTCAATAGTAGGCTATTAAAGTTTTTGGAAGTCATATGTTATACATGGATTTTCAACTGTGTGGGGGTCAGTGCCTTTCACCCCCATGTTGTTTAAGGGCCAATCATTTTGGTGAGTACTTTATTCATGTATCTCATATAAATTTTGTTCTATTTTAAAGCACTACTAAAATAACCATTCTGAATTCTAGGTTCCTAATAAAAGATTTGCTTTTTAAAAATCCTTTTGTTTTAGTTAAAGTATAAATTTCAATTAATGTCCTCAATATAATTTGGATTCTGCTTGTACTTAAAATTTGAAGACTAGTAATGAACATGAACAGTTTTTTTGAAATTTGCTTGAAGTTTTCCTGGTATTAAGAAAATTAAGACTATTCAATTTATATGTATAATACTCAAGAAGATTATCTCTTAGATGTAGTAATGCAAAAACTATGCAGAACTTCTTTGAATACTTATCCTTATTTCACTACCAAAATTATTAATCTTATTAATTACATTGCTGTTTAATACTGACTCAATTTCTAGTTGTAACCAAACCAACATGTCCCTCTGGATAGAGGACTTTCAGATAAGTCAAAACTTTGAGTGGCTAGACATTAAGTATTTGAGATGTATATTAATATATAGTTCTATATTTATATATTATAAATTATACATAATTATTGTGTATATGATTCTATATTACAAAATTCTAGAAGACCATAATATAGAATTCAAAGATTATACTATATTGAATTCAAGTATATACTATACATAGTATAATTATTATATGTATATGATTCTATATTACAAAATGCTAGAAGCAGACCATGATATAGAATTCAAAGATTCCTTAGAGTAGTGATTCAACATACAAATGTGGATAACTGGTTTCATCCTTAGTGCAGAGTAGACACAGACATGATTAGAAATGATTTATTTTTGTTTACAACCGTTAGAGCACAATACTATGTTAAATGCATGTTCCATTCCAAATGGCTGCTGCAGACCATGAGGGGGCTAATTTTTATAGCTATAATGATTCAATATTGTTTTTGAAAACATGCAGAAAATAAAACTGGAAACAGAAGCAGTCAATAAGCAACTGTGGAATGATCAGAAGTTAACAGTCACAGACAGAATCCAGGCCCCAACACCATTCAGGTAATCAGAGAAATAATCAAGCATTACTTCATGAAAGCAATTTACAAGTCATATATCAAACAGTCTATTCTACTCTAGGGGGTATGAATGAACACTTTCCATTTAACAGTTAAAAAAAAAACAAAGAAAAAAGAGGTTTAACAGAAGAGAAAATAAATTGTAACATTTTAGTGGATATTCATTTATGCATATTTGATATATATTGGAAAATATAAAGGTCTTAGTATTTAAAAATATTCTTTTAGACATGTATTCTTACCCTCCTTTGTGATGAAGTTGGGGCCTTCTCTTTTGAGCAGTATACCCAGCAGGATGGCTTGGCTAGCCAGACAACTGCAGTCCTGAAAATACATACCACCGTGAGTAACTGGAATTAACATGGATATGAAAGTTACCACAGCGGGATAACTAATCACTAAATTTACATGATGAAGAGAGGAAATATTCTGCTATAGAACTGAGGAAAGGTATAATGTCACTGATCTACTACCAAGCATAAGATGACATTATACAATAATTTGTCTTAGAAATAGCTTAGAGACAGAGGGTAGACAAGCTGCCTTCCTAGGGTAAGATTTAACAATTAAATTTCCAAGGAAATGAAATAAGCAATAGACAGAAAATATGTTGTCTACAAGTATTAATAGTGATTCTGACACTCTCTAGGAGATTTGACCAAGTCATTTAATCATTCCCTTTTTGACTTTACTTATTTAAAAAGGGGAGAATTTTCTTATTAACTCATTATGAAGAGATGGATGAAAGGAGGGGACATGTGTAGAGTGCTTATTATATACTGGGACACGATGCTATATGATTTATGCCTACCATATCAGATTCATGGTAATGTGTATCTACAGAAAATATCAATCAATAACAAGAACTGATGATGTCTGGTAGTATGTATATTTAGGTTACCTGCTCATATATGAATGGCCCAACAAGACACCAGAGTGTTTATAGTTCCACCACTACAATTTCATTTCTCTAGGTAAGTACTATATCTTACCCTCAACCCTCTTCTTTTAAAATTCAAGAAACTTAGGGAAGGTAAAACATTAGGTTGCTAATATAATGCTCATGTGGATGTGGTTATAGGATTACTTTCTTCAGTGACTGCAGAGACTGAAAGCAAATATTAGACCTAAATACTAGGGCAGGAGAGAAGATCTAGGCTGGGAAAAGGAGGGGAAAGGCACTGAAAGAGAAATTTGGAGATCTCAAAGGCAACTTTCACTGACATAACTTCTTTAATAGCTCATAAAATATTTTCATACCTAAGACAACCCAACTTACCCTCACTTCCTAAGCAACTTTAAGAATATCCATGCTAATGTGTGACCATGAGAACAATCTCTCATTACTGCCCCGGGTTTAGACAGGCCATCTACCTCCAGGTTAATTGCTACCTTCTCTGAGAGGACAAAAAGCGATATGGCTTGTCCCTGGGAAGTCCTGCTCTGCCAATCTTCACTCAGGGCCATGAGGGAATTACATTTGCCTCACATTCAGTTTTTGAAGAATTTCATGGGTGGATTTGTTTTTCCATTCATTAATGGTGATATCTGGTTGGTGCTCCACTTCAGGAGTATTGGGGGTGCTTTTCTGTCGTTTGACTTTTGAATGTTTTGGAAGTTCTAGCTCCTCAAAACTCTTAAATTCTGGAATCCTAGAAATTAAAAGAAGTTTCAGATTTCTTGCATTTCTAATGTAGTTTCAAGAGACACAACAATAATCCAAATAGACTTACTCCTCTGTGTCACTGATTCGTAAGAAGTCAAGTTGTTCTACTACAGCTCCAGATATTAGTGTCTGAAATGTGATTCAGAAAAGATTCACAAGTCTTAAATTTATCAGTACATAATTTTCTGTAAGTAAGTAATACTTAAAAAAAGAGTTTACTTAAAATATATATATAAATCTTAGGTAACTTCTTAAACAAGCATTCTAAAATCTTAGGTTTTCACATGTAACAAAACTCCCTTAAATAGAATATATAGATCAAACTACAACACACAAGTCATAATAATAGGAAAGTCAACATAAGGTGAACTATATTTTCTCTCTGTCCTTAGAATTGTGGGCATTAATTTTAAAGCTGAAATTAAAATTTAATACCTATTAAAATGTTAAAAATATTTTCAAATTTGAAAAAACACAAAATATAAAAATTGTTTGGGTGCAAGACAATGTGAAATCGCACTTTGGATTATGCTACTGAAACATATGTCAGGGCTGTCCAGTGATGGTATACTGCCAAGTCTTCATTCTTTAGGATCATGAAGGTGTTGCTTATCAAAGTCAGTGCTTCTATACATTCTGGCAGCCATTAGCTCAACTGATTACAGGCTGAGCAAGCTAAATGAGTCCAAACTCAAACATAGTTTTTGTTTGTCAGTGGTTCACGGTGAAGAGTTTAAATCAATAACCCACAATGATCCCTAGTAATATGTGTCACTTCTGATTATCTGATGAATTGTCAGATAAAATTGAGAAATGTACTGCATAAAAAACAAGCCATAAATTACTTTTAAAATAAAGCAATTCTTCTATCAAAACTGTCTTATATGTATTACTTTCTCTGTTTTCTCACTGTTCATTTCAACTGTGAAGCAACCTGACATAAGGATGTTGTTCCTGTTGGCTGATCACTCAGAGTTGTGCTGTTTTCCTCTTTGGTGCAAACTCATAAACAAAGAAGATCATCAACAAATAGCCACTACAAATGTCAGGATGGATATATTACCAGAAATCATACTGAAGCCTCCTTGCAGAGTCTGAGCAAGGAAGGCCAAACATACAACTGATCTACAATTCTTATGTGCCCCAGCCACAGTCAGGGTCTGAGAGCAGTCTGTACCTGGGCAGAGAGCAGTGCCAAGCACAGTAAAAGTCTGTGGAGGGGTATTTCCTAAGATGCAGGCTACCTACACATCTTGCTCTCTAGCTAATCTGTTAGACAAATATTTATGAACACCCATGATATGCTAGACATTGTTAGATATTGAGGATAAAGCATGAACAAAATACACAAAATTCTTGCCCTCTTCAAACTGGGCTTAGGCATGTGTACGAAGTAGACAATAAAAAAACATCAAAATAACTAAATACATTACATCAGATGATGACGAGTGCAAAGTAGAAACCGGAAAGGTAGGGGATGGGAAGTGCTAGGCAGGGAAGTAGGAGGAAGCAGGTTTTCTATTTTATAAGGTGATCAGAAAAGTCTTCTCAATAGGGTGACATGTAAGCAAACACTGAAGGAAGTACTGTGGAAGAGTGTGCAAGGCTGAAGGAACAGTAAGTGCAAGGCAGGAGCATGCTTGGTGTGCTTAGGAGCAGCAAGCAGGACAGCAGTAGATGGGGGAGAGTGGTAGATGAGGTCAGAGGAGGAGGTCCAGATCACAGGCAGCATATTGTCCACTGAAAGGACTTTGAGTTTGATTTTGTAAGAGAGTCATTGAAGGCTTATGATATGTGACATAATCTAACTGCCTTATGATCACGAGAGTAGGAAGATGCTAACTGTCTTATGGTCAGTAGAAATTTAGAAGAAGTGAGAAATAATGGTAGCTTGGACCGTGATGTTAGTGCTAGAATTGGTGGGAAGTGATTAGATTCTGGATATAATCTGAGGGTGGAGAAAACTGGACTTGATAGTGGATTGTAATATGGGGTATGAAAGAAAGAGAAGAATCAAGAATTATTTAATTCTCAAAGCTGACAGCTAATACTGAAAATATAAGAAAGAAGTTTTGATTAATTATTTTTTATTTTTATTAGCCTACCCACCATTATATACTAATTCTGTCCATAAATTAAATGTTTAATTTAATAGACAAATTCTAAATTTCACTAATGATCTTTATGCCTTTTGATTTAAAAATTTGGTTGCAGAGGCTCCTAAATTCATTTTATAAAAAAACATTATAATTAATTAGGTAAGCATTAATACCTTAGTTTTGATGGTAATTAAATAATTTAGTTTTGTTATATGTGTCAAATGCAATATTATAATATATAGAAAGGTATCCTATACTGTAATACTTAATTATCTCCTACCCAACCCTTTCCAACTGAACTTCCTACCTAAGATTGCTTTCTCTTCATCCCAACATTCTGCATCCCCACTTGGCTTTGGTTTTGGTTTGGCTTCCCAACTAGAATAAGTCCTGTGAGATCAGAAACCTTGTATATATATATATTTTTTCACCACTATATCCCAACTGCCTAAAGAGGAAGCTCAAAAAATATTTGTTGAATCAATGAACCAATATTTACATTTTTTCCTCAGAGACAGTAGTAGAGGGAAGAATACTCTGGGAATGCAGAGATGAGTAAAGGTTGGCCCAAGAGAATTTTCAACCCATAGAGAGAAGCAGGCAAAAGAAACTAGCTACACCTAAAACAAGAGTTATAGCAAAGGTTCAAACAAAATGCCACAGAAGTACACAGGAAGGAGAAATTAATTCCAGTCTTGGAGACTTCACTAAAAAGGTGACATTGACCTAAATTATGCAATTAAAGTATGACTTAGAAGAAAAAGAGGAAAAAGGCAACTGTAGAATAGAGCAATAGTATGAACAGGACAAAAATTCCAATTACATTCAGAGATGTTTTAGGTACCAAAAATACTTGGGGAATTGAAAGCAGGACTGGAAAAGAATAGCATAGGAAGATGATGAAGCAGGATGATGAGGCAGGGACTGCAGTGAGGCCAGTGATGAGAGAGATTGCAGTTCATTGGCTATGGAAATTTGAAAGGGCTTGAAATAAAATCTGAGAGAAGCATATAGCTGCCATTTTCACTTACTATATTAAAGGGAAGACGAAGGCTGGGGGTGAGAGTGGTGAGGGGTTGTTGTTTAATGGGTATAGTGTTTCAGTTTTGCAAGATGAAAAGTCTTATTCTCTGGTTAAAGACTCTATACTCAAGGGTACAAGGAACAGAGAGCAGGAGATATAAAGATTAGGCAATGGATTAAGTGAAAGACTGTATACAGCACAGTAGGACTCCCTGGCTCCCTTCCCTCACCCTTTTCTCAGGACATGGAAGCAAAACATATATCCTTCAGGCAAGAGGTTAGATGTTTATTTTCTGGGTAAACTGTAGAGGCCAGAAGAAAAAAACTCCAGATATTGATACCTGGGGTTTACCCCAACAAAAAGGGTAAACCTTACCACCAAACCATCTTATATAAGTGAATTCATCATGACAAGAATACTTGTTTCCAAGTACACAGGTTACAATAAATTTTTTACTCTTCACTCTCAATAATGAATGTATAGCTAAAGATTACCACACATCTGACAAATGCCTCTAAATGAAAGACTGAGACCAAAAAACAGAAAAAAGAAATAATGTGAAAAGAAAATTTCAAAACTCTCCAGTTAATCTTTTCAGAAAAATATGACAAAAAATAATATCCAGAAAATAAGATATTATGAAAAGGACAATTAAAAACATGATATCCAAAATACAAAACTTTATAGAGGAGCTACATGATAAATATCAAAGAAATTGTGCCAGCAAGCATTACAAAAAGACAAAGCAACAGAAAATAAGGAGAAAGGGATAAAAATCAATTAAGTACACAAACATAAGCTCCATGAATATGTAAGCAAATACACTAAACATTTATTGCATTACCTACAAAGGTCTTGCTTTATAAATTTTCCTCTTTGTTACGTAGTATTTAGGAAAGACTCTATGGAACGATCACAATGTTTTTTACTAGGAAATAAGTCATTTAGGTCCACTGATAGACTGCAATGTGAGTATTTAGGTTAAAGGTCACAAAGGGATGTTAAAGTAGCAAAGTGTCATTTCTGGTCTGAGTGATTTTATAGAACTGGCCTTTAAAATCTGGTAAGACTTTACGGCCTAGAGCTTCTGAAAAGAAAAGAAGGTTGTTCCAGGCAGAGGAAATGGTGTGAGCAGGGGACAAAACCTCAGAAAGTTCAGAACACATTAATTAATTTGTATTGGTGTAGCAAAAATTGTGTTTAGTAGGAGATAACTGTGGGCAGACAGCCTGTTACGGCTAACAGGAAAACACAGAGGGCCTCTGTTATTTAGGAGTTGTGAAGATAATGCAGTAATGTTCCAATTGGAACAAGAACTATCTCCAGGTTGGTTGTTACTGTGGAATAAGGACAGTATTTTGGGCTTGTAGGCACAAGGTCACTTCACCACTCTGGACCCCTGTTTCCTCAAATGTAAAACTGAAGTTAGAGATGAGCTATTAAAGTCTGAAGTTCTGTTCGGGAAACCATTGCAATTGTTCAAGCATCAGAACTGGAGGATCAGATAATAGGAGCAGGAAGGTAGGTACATAATAAAACCTTAAGACAAAAACTTTAAATAGAACATATATTAAGAAATACAGCTGTATCTGTGAATTAATTGTCCTAAAAACAGAAACACACTGAAATTCAGAAGACTACCTGTAGACGATCAACATGAACTTTGACTCCTCCAACCATTCCTTTTTTAAAGGCTGCCAGCATATCTAAAATGGGGTTGAATCGGCTACCTCTGAAAAATATAAACAGATAAATAAAATGTACATATTAAAACAGAACGAGAAATTAATAATCTATTACTAAGTGCCCTTTACACATATATGCAAAGCACTCTGCCACAATGCTGAGAGGCATACAAAATAACACATGGAGTCCTGCTTCTAAAAGGGTCACACTCAGTGTTAATGGAGGTGAAATGTATGCACCTCACTTCCTTCATCAACCTACCTTATGTTGTCTTCCAGGATGAGAACAAGGAAAAGTGGACGTCCATGCATTTTCCAGTATTGCTTAATGAACTGTAGCGCATTCTAACAAAATAAGAATGAGGCAGGATATTAAGGCAAAGTATCTGAGCTGACCAGCATGCTTGACCTTTAGTGGCAAAGGGCCAATAAAACTCTCATATATCAAGATAAGTCACAATCAAACCCTGGATTATATAGACTATGTAGGGGTAGAAATGTTCTAATACATATAAATATACAAGTATGAATACACACACACAAGTTCAGCTAGAAACCTGTTTTAATTTCAAACTTTGTTCTTAAAAGTACACAGAGCACACATGTTTTAAGGCTGATTTTTTTTTCTGGTGGCCTAATAAATACAGTTCAAGAATGGTCCCAGGAAGGAAAAATTAACCTAGGGTTATCATCCAGAAGATTAATTCTCACTCCACAGTACTGTGGATTTATATTAGAGCAGGTAGAAGAAGTTAGATTGAATCTACACAAACCATCAGAAATGTGGAGAGATTTCTTTATTTGACTCAATTTCTACTGTCACCATCATCATTATTATTATATCCAAGCCTTATATAACACTTGACCATGTACTAGGCAGTATTCTGAGTGTGTTACATATATTAACCACTTAGTCTTCAGAACAGCCTTATTATTATTATTCAGTTATACAGATGAGAAAACACAGGCACAGAGAAGCTTAATAACTTGTCCAAGATCACATAGCTGGTAAACAACAAAACCAGTATTTTAACAAATGCAATCTGGCTCCATACTTCATGCTCTGGACCTTGAATCTGAGCTTCTCTACTCTGCAAATGGAAAAGAGATTGGAGAAGATTTTAACTTACTGGATGTTATGAGTTAGCTGAGGTTTTATCTGACATTCTTCATAAATATAATATTTGCTAACTCAACTTTTGTTCAAAAAGAGATAAACTAGTACTGTTGTATGAACATGGTTTTTAAAATGGCTTTCCCTCTGCTTTTCAAAACTATATCCTTTTACTCCATTTGTAGAAAGGTATATCAAGCAAAGTCATACAACTTCATGTGAAACAGTCTCTATCTATTATTTTAATGCTGCAAGTAATTTAACTCTTTCTCCAAAGTCATACAGATGTATTGTACTTTCACATTTTATACTGTGCTAACTTGTGTCATTGACACCCAATTAAATAGGAGCACTCAATTTAATAATACATGATAAAGTCAGTAGAATGAAGTCATCTCATTTCAATAAAATGTCGTTCTAAAGTTACCTTTATGTCATCTATCAGCAGCAAAACATCTTGCGACATGTAGAAATCACTTAGGTCGAAAATGATAGGGTAACAAACCACAGTCTTCCCTAAAATGCGATAAATCTGTAAGGGATAATTAAAAAAAAAATCTATATATATATGTATATATATATAGATATATATATACACAAAATAGACCAAAGGCAGAGTTACAGTAGCATAAGTTCTAATAAAAATTAAAACTGATGTTTAATTCTAGAGAAGTAAATCAAATACTATCTTATGAAATATGCATAATATTAAGAAATTGTAAAGTTTCTTGATTGGATTTGTATGCTACAATACAAAGTAGCCCACCTCTGGTATGATGAGAAGAGCTTCTGTTTGAATAAATACTGTTATAATCAGGTATTTCACAACATATAGAAATAATATTGCAGTGAGATGCTTATTCATTCCTAGAGGACTTCTGTGATCTCACACAAAACAAGTAAGATTTTCTTGTAGAAAACAGTAACTCAGATAATTAGCACAAGTATATAATGAAATGTGAGAATGGATGCACAGCAAGTGAAACATCATTTTAGTCTCTGGTATTATAACCTGAACACTGCTCTACAAGGAAATTTCGTGAGTACCTTAGATGTACCGAGGCAGCCAATGGGCCTATCTGGCCTTCCGGAGAGTCCTAATTTTTCATTGATACCCAGGTGGAAATAAGCCTGTAAGAAACAAATTTATAAATTAGAATCAGGTAAGAATCCATGCTTTTTCTTTTTTCCCCCCTTCTTCCCACTGACTACTGACTGCCCTGCTAATTTCTGATCTAAGAGACCAGGAAAACTGTATTCAATAGACTTGTAGGAAAACAAGCTAGCCAATGATATCAACTTAGATCTGGGGGCACTGAGATTTGAGAGCAAAACTTTTGCAGATCCACTTAGCAGCATTCTAAAATTCTGTCATAAATGTACAATTTGCATGGCTCTGTCTGATTTGTAAAAGAACACAGAGACAAATGCTCCCTGTATGATAAAAAGTCTGGCTAATAAAAGTTTTAAAAAATAAGGCCATACATCTCCTACTAGATTTCTACTTTCAAGTATTTCCCACCAACATGGAAATGCCTTTATTGATTTTTCTAATTATATGTGAATTTTATGAAAAATTTAAGCCATATGCTACAGGTATATGGTCCTGTTTATTCTTACAACCCCTCAGCAACTGCTTCACTTTGGTGTATGTTGAAAGGAGTGTAATTTATTGTGGATCCCTAATAAACACCTGAAGTGTAGATTGGGTTACAGATTTTAAAAAGTATGTAGAAAAATATATACTCATATTAACACACATATGTACACATTACGTATATATTTACATAAATGTGTTCATATACTACACAATCTATTTGGTGTCTCATTTTTAAAAACTTAATATTGTGGTGTTCCAGTTTGGAGATGGTAAACTGAGCCTATAAATTCTACATTTCAATGTTGAAATGATTGAAGAAATATACAGACTGGGAAAAATATCTATAGAACTATTTCAAAACAGGAAAGGGTGCCACAGTGAAGTAGAAACTTTCATAATTTCTATAAGATAAAGGCAGACAGTCTTGGAACAAATTAGGAGTTAATCAGTGCTAGAGCTGAGCCTTAATCAAGAAGGCTTCTTACTCTGTTTAACACCTATGCCCTAATAAGGAAGCTCCCAATTTTTTGTTATTTCAAACTATTTCAATAAACATCTTTGCACAATGTACTGTTATTTCTGTGGGTTAATTTCTTAGACTTACTGAATCAAAGAGAGGAGACATATTCTCTATGAAACATAATGCCAGGTTAGCCACCCTGTAGAAATAATGGATAAATTTACATTGGCATTAACAGTGCATATACAGGTCTTTTTTGTCACTCTCTTGGATCAAAATGATATTTCATTTTAAACTATTGTATTCAAATAATTTTTGGTTGATCATTTCCTATACTTAGTGGCTATCTGTATATCTTATAAATTTTTCCATTTGTTCCATTTGCTATTAGGTATTTGTCATTCTTTTTGACTTGTGAGAGATGTTCATATATTAAGAATTTTACCCTTTGTATCAAATATTTTACCTATTTGCTCATCTTCAATGTTGTTATGAAATGTGAGAATACATAGTAGGTCAAACATCATTTCAGCATGTTGTATTTCAATCTGAACATTTTTCTACTAGGAAATTTCATAAGCCCCTTTGATGTACCAAGTTGTTTATGCCATCTTCAGCTATATTTATATTTGTCAATCATTTCCTTAGTGGTTTTTTAGTATTACTATTATTCTAAGGATGGACTTTCCCTTCCAGCAGTTATAAACTGTTCTCCTACTTTTTCTTCAAGTGATTTTATATTTAAGTCATTAAAAAATATATATTTAAAATTTTAATCTGTCTGGAGTTTATTTTTGTATTTGATAAGAGACAGAAATTTAACCTAAAATTTCCTAAATGGCAAATCAAACTGTCTCTACACTATCTACTGATTATGATTCAAACTGATTTTAATATCAACCTCATCATATAAAAAACTAATGTCATCACCAGAGGTCTCTGTTCATCCTGCTATGGTGCAAACATCTATGTCAGAGTTAGCTCTGTGTCTTTTTCTCCTCCTGCCCTGTATATTCCTGGAGAAGAGCATCCCAAGGTGGCACTGTGCCTAGCATATAGCTAGCATTCAGGAAACACTCGATGTATGAATGAGGGAGCAACTGAATGTCCACCTGAGCTACATGTGCTATGAATACTGATTCTGGAGTAGCAGTGGTTTTAGACATAGTCAGCTGGCCAGAAAAAGTACTCCGTAAGAATTATGTTGTGTAGTTGCACTGAAACTACAGAGCACAACACTAGATGGAGCCCCCTTTCCCTCAAATATTATCAATTTTTCAGACATAAACATACATCTAAACTATTTTATATTTCTTTTTTAGACAAATGATTATATTAATCAACCACATACAAGTTAAAATATACTAATCTAGGTAGATATCCTTTAAATACCACTTTGTCACAGTAAAAGAATTTTCCTTAACTTTCTGAACCACAGTACAAGCATTGTACAGTGTATAACAATTAAGCAGACAGACCTGGAATGCTCCTGCATTCCAGACAGTACTGTCCCCACAAGGCAGATAATATTACCCCTACATTTTATAAATTCATACCATTTAATGCACTGAAATACAAAGTAGGGGCCAAACAACCCAGAAGTAGAGAAGTACTTCATTCCAAATCTTCACTGCATTCAGATTCCCCATGAGGCAAATCACACCACAGCCATGACATCATAAAACATTAACCACACACAGTAAAAGCTCTGCTTTCAGCTGTCTGCACTCACAACCTCTGAAGTGGGCTGAAGGAGGGTACAGCTTCTCAGAAGCGAAGGATCAATCACTGGCATAAGAATATGTGTATTAACTAAGTGTATTAACTAAGATTTGAGGGAACACTTCTATTTTTAAAAGACAGGCTTATAAAAAGCAGTTTATTAGGCAGTGTATTTTAGAGGATGAATCCCAAGGTACAGCTAGCTTGAAAGACAGATGTTGTAGCCACAATTAAAGAATCTTCTGGAAAGTTGAACTTCTGGTCATAAATATGTCTTTTTAACCATACCACACAGCCAACTGTAAATCATTTGTTTTACACCATCTTTAAAACAACAAAATATAAAATAAGTCAGGACCTGAGAAAAGTCTTTACCTTTCTCTGAACAGAATGCTTCCTACCACCTCTATGATTCTACAGAATCTTATATATAGCACTTATCAAAGTGGATTGCAATTACCTACTTTTCCCGTCATACCACTAGACTCAGAGGTCACAGGGACAGTCATTTTATCTGAGTGCCTCACAAAGTGCTCTGCCCATAGTAGGTGTTCACTGATTAATGAATGAATAAAATGCCACATTTGAGTCATTTGGAGCCATATTGGTCTTTTAAATCTTGTATGCATGTTGTCTGGTAGAGTACAGATTCACCTACCATTAAGAGAAGTTGTTGATATAAATTAGGCTTGAAAAAACCAGACTCAAGTTAATTTTTGCTTTGCTAGCATGTTTATCAAAGAATAATAACATTTGCTACCATTATCTGAGCTTTCAGTGAGAGATTATTAAAGTATATCAGCAAAAACGGCCTATACTTGAATGACCAGTGCACAGTGTTAGAGCCCTGGATTTTTGCCCCTTCCGTGCAGCTTCCTCTCCTTGCCTTGTGGATCCTCAGTTCCCTCTTGATTTCGTTACCTTATTCTACCATAGAAACCAGGTTTTCATCATATACATCTTGCTGTGATTTTAAAGTGCTACCTACTCTAAGGACCCTTGCATTCTCAGCCTTATCTTTTTAATGGTGGGGGAATAGAGAGCTCTAAATTTGTTAGACTCCCAAAGAGCTGATACCCTGGGTTCTAGGTTCTGATTTTGTTGCTAATGGGTAGGATCCAGTCTGATTAACAGCAACTCTGAGGCAACAGAGGCATTTCCCATGCAATGTACACCTCACTTCTCTAAGCCTTTGTTTTTGTTGTAGCATCAAGGCTTTGACAACAAACATTTATATCAACCTAATCGACTTACTATTGACCATTTGAGACCAAGAGATCAAACCTAAATATCTCTACCAAAGACCATGAAATTTATAACTGTATTCTTTTAACAATTACCAAATAAAATATGGTAGCTTATAATTAACTAGTGGAAGTCATCAATTTATGCCTCTAATGAACAGGAATATTCCTAAACACAGGTACTTCTGGACCCATCTGCACTGTAGTGCTTGCAAAAGGCCTCAAAATTCACCTTCTAATCCAATCCAAATAGGTATGTAACTGCATCAAAGATAAATTCAGATGCTATTTTATAATTACTTTAAGACCCAGCAAACAAAAGAGGTAGGGATTACTCAGTGTCCAAAAAAAGAGTAAGGCAAGGGAAAAAGAGAAATAGTCATTACTATTAAGCAAGCATTTAGACAAGGAAGTTTAAGAATTAATGAAAGGGAAAATAATCAAATCTAATGTAAAGCTCAATTTAGACACAGGTATGAAAATCAGGGCTATTTTGTTATCCAAGTGCTCAGTCTAGGTTAGTAATAGATGTTAAGCAAGGAGAGGAATCAGTAAGACCCAGAAATATAATTTATACACACACAATGCAGTTGTCTTTTAGTAACAAAGTCTGATAAATTAGTTTTCAACTTAATTAGACATTTGGATTAATAACCGTACCTCAGAACCAGATTTTAAATGTGCTCTTTACTGTAAACTGCCTAATCGTTATGCTCCAGCACCTCCAGAAAGCACACAGCAAAGAAGCAGAATCACTTACTTTCACAAGCTCCTGCTGAGCCCAAATCTGAATGGGTTCTACCTGCTGAGGAGTTTGAGTCTGAATACCATACGTGTTGAGGAAAACTTGAAGGCTAAAGAATATGGGGGACAAAAAGAAACACTTTTAGGCGATGCATTTATAGTTTGGAAAATGATCAAAGGGGAAGGGAAAAGGGAAGAGACTAACTTGGAGCATGTGATTAATTTGTTAACAGTAGCAGTATGCCATCTGAACTCGAATGCAGAGGCCCTTTTGTATTCTTCATAAAGCATAAGATGGGAGTTTGGGGGGCTGGCAGAGAGTAAGCACTGATTTGGGGAATCCCCATAATCTGTCTGCACTAATTACTCAAAACTACATCCCCAGGCAACACTAGCACTGGCCACAGTCTTTAATATTTCACATCAACTAAAACAAAATTACTTTTAGACATGAAAAGAATATTGTTCTGGCACTTAAAAATGCCATTAATGACATCTTGAAACCTTGTCAAAGGGGGGTCTATAAAATTAATCTCTACTATCATATTCAATATTGTAAGCATGAAGCAGGAAGTCCCTCTTCCTCCCCACCAAAAGAACACACCACCCATCTGGATGTCATACCGTTGGCTTTCTGCTACAAGTGCTACATAAACTACCAAGTCATTTTCCAGTGGTCCCTGTAATACAGAGAAAGGGAGAGGGAAAACACTTTAAAAGATCTAGTCATCATCAGCTACAATGAGAATCAAGAACAGTATTAATCATCTCTGAGAAATTCATTAAAATGATGGACACCTGCTGGCTCTAAGCAGTCACCTCTTTTTCCTTGCTCTCTACTGCCTACTAATCAATTTGATGGTGTAGACAGAGTAATGGAACACCAAGGAACAGAAAATCATAAATCTCACCACTACCAGAGGGGCTAGCCTATCAGGGCTATTTTGAATGATGCATCAGAGTAGTTCGGGGAATGATGATATTTTCCATCATTTAACTCTGAAAGGAAGAGGGGAAACTAAAAATAAAAAACCCAATTTATGTATTCTCTGTAAAAAAATAGATTGTGAGTTAAAATTGTTCATTTGACATCTTAACCACATAAAGGCTATTCCCTTTCTTGTTAGCCATTTTTCATTTGGCACCTTACCTATTAAAATAGCTTTAGTCTAATATATAGTTCCTGTGGTTGAGAATGAACTACCCAGTCGACTATATAATTATCACTGTGTTCATTAAATACAAGCTGTTGGGTTTAATAGTTCTAATCAAAGATAGTGTTGGATATTTGCTACTCTTTTTTGTGTGGAAAAGATTCACTATAGCAAGTATATATTACATTTTGTTAAAATGAAACCAATTTTGAGCTGTATATAATTAACAAAGAACACTAGAAGTACCAATAAATTACAGTATTATGAATCTCTGAAAATACTGATCAAATATAATTTCTTTATAGTAATGAATCCAACATTCCCAATAGTATGCTGTAAAATGTTTGATTTACCATCAGCCAGTTCCACTCTGTGGTATTCAATATGCCATTAGAATTTATGTATGATGGAAGACAAGAAACACCAGAATATATGTATTAGCAGTAAATATCATACAATCAAAGGGATGGTTCTCAGAATCACTGAAAGTGCCATTTCAGGCAGACTTCTGTGTAATTTAAATGATATATAAGAGAATATATGTTAACAACCCAATAAAAATACACATTAAAAATCTATAAATTAAATATTTTTATTTGATACTTTAAATTTAATGTTACTCAGAAGGATGAGAAAAAATTATTTAGAGTCTTACCAAGATTTCTAACAATAAATGAAAATATTAAGCCTTTTTTATCTTAGATGAAATCTAGCATTCATCAAAAGGAGAAGTAACCTTAGAGTGTACCATTATCTCTAATCTTCAGGACATAGGAATTCTTAAGTAAAAAGCAAGTGAATAAAATGCAGATAATATTCCAATAACAATAAATAAGGCAGCTTAACAGATCCTAATTGGGAAATTGGTATCTTCTTTTTAAATCATATACCATTTAGCATAATGTTTTTCCATTTGTATGACAGAGTACTCAGATCTAAAATACCTACTACACAAAACTGAATCATATGAGTATCTCATTAGGGGACTATCAGATGGTTCAAGAACTCTTCCACTGTAAAATCTCAGTATTTCAGAAAGTTCCAATTAACAAACTATCTACCATCGTGAGCACAGGCCTTCAACCCCAGTCTAAGTGGGCCCCTTCACCCCATTCCCGTCACAGAAAGAATTCACCCCAACAATTCTGTTTTACCATTTTCTTCAAGCCACCAACATTGTTGTCTAAATCTATGAAGTCTCTCAAAAACTTCCTAATAGTAATTAATATCTTATATTTCTGAATGGTATTTTCCTTAACAATATTGTAATATTTTCTGTATTTAGGTTCATAAAGTGCACACACTTACATAGTCAAGCCCTGTGTGGTATTAGTGCTTTCCATTTAAATGTATTTATGCACTCATTCATTTGACCAACAGTTAAAGCATACTAACTGCAATATAATGAGTCTTAAGAAATACCTATTTGGTCATTCGGATGATCAAATACTTATTTCCAAGATATATTTGGTCTTCACAGTTCCTGAAAACACTGTTGAGTTTAAAGGTGAAATTGTGTCTTGTCATGTTAATGAGAGATTTTGGACCCCACCCAAGAGCAGGGGCTAAAGGTTGAATCAGCCAATGGCCAGTAATTTAGTCAGTTATGACTATGAAATGAAGCCCTCACAAAAACCCCAAGGAAGAGCTTACCTGCTCTCTTACATCCTGCTTTTCTGTCAGTGAATGTTTCCATGCTTGGGGAACCATAACACACGGTGCCACTTAAGACAGGCCCCAAGCTCCACAAGGATACAAGTTCCTTTATTTGGGACCTTGCCCCATGTATCTCTTCATTTGGCTGTTAACTTGTATCCTTTACAGTATCCTTTATTAAACTGGTAAAGGGAAGTGTTTTCCTGAGTTCTGTGAGCTGCTCTAGAAAATTAATTGAACCTAAGAGGGAGGTGGTGGGAACCTACAATCTGTAGCCAGTAGGTCAGAAGCACAGGTAACTGCCTGGAGCTTGTAACCAGTGTCTGGAGTGGGTAGTGGAAGGCAGTCTTGTAGGACAGAGCCCTTAACCTGGGGAATCCGCTGCTATCCCCAGGCAGACAGCATCAGAATTGAGTTCTTGGACACCCTGCTGGTGTTAGAGAATTGCTTGGTGTGTGTGTGTGTGTGTGGTGGTGGTGGTGGTGGTGGGGGGGGAGTAGACCCACCCCTCCCAAACACATGCATTAGAATTGGGTCTGGAACTTGAAAGGAGTTATACTGCTGTGTATAACATACTATTATTGTTGTTGTATATGAAAAAACTCTAACATGCAAGGTTCCATGCTAGACCCTGATGTTACAAGGTGAATACAACCCAATGTCCCTCCTTGAGGACTTTACAGCTACTGGGACAGATAGACAACAGGTAAGTTTTCTATTATGTGTTTATTATGATATAGAAGCATTTCACTGACATCTTTTCTTTGGCAGTATAGTTCTATCACATTGAAAAAAACAGCTGCAGGGCATTACATTATATAGACATATCATAATTTATTTCAAAATGTTTATTTTGATGGATATTTAGTTGGTTTCCAATATTTTACTTTTGCAGAGAATATAATAATTGTCCCTATTCAAAGAATTACTGAGGATTTAGGGGGAGAACAAGGTGAATGCTAAGCCCAGTATCTGATACATAAAAGCAGGAAAGAGCACACAAACTTGCTGCAGTTGTATTTATCTGCACACCTATTCTAAGAGAGCTGCTCTTCTCTTCCTTGTTGAGATTTGCTGTAATATCTATTATGCCTTAGATTCCACTGGCTTCTACCATTCTAAGACATGAGGACTATCCATTATCCCACATTTATATGGCTAGTTCTACAAAGAATTCCAAACACCCTTTGTAACAGATCCTCAGGTGACTTACCACCTTCCCAATTTTTTCCCTTTTATTTCTCAAACACAGACTGTAATAATTTCCTTAGCTTACTGTCTCTGTAAACCTATACTCTGCCATCTAACCTGCTTTGCCTTTAAACATGGAAATTCTCACACTTAAATCCTTTGTCTTCTATTCACCCCACTTCTTTCTCTTTCTGTCTCTCTCACCAAATTTATTCATTCTGGCAGATGATTCCATATTTATATTTCTAATTTTAAATTTTCTCTTGAGTTCCAGTTCTCACATTTTTAACTGCTTTTTGGAAATTTTCTCTTGGCTATTTCCAATGTGAATAGTTCTAAAACTCAGCTCTTTATCAGTCCTGCCTCTACTTCAAAAAGGCTCATTCAAACTCAGAACCTCAGAATCATCTTTGACTCCTCTTGTTTACCCTCCATATCCAATTTGTTGCCAAAATCCTATTGCTCTTTCCTTCATAAAGTATCTTAAATCTTCTTTTCATTTCTATAGCAACATTCAGTACTGAAAAGTAACAATAACAAACACTATATAACATTCTAAATTCTATGTGCAGACATTGTTCCAAGTGCTTTAACAAACTATTATCCTCATTTTACAGGTTAACAGGTGAGGCAAAGGAAGCCTCTCTAACTAATCAAGGTCGTAGAGTCAGAGCTTGAATTCATACCCAGGCAGTCTAACTGCAGAATCTGTGCTCATAATCACTCACTTATTATGCTTTTCAAAGAATGGGAAGAGGGCAGGTTTTAGAATTATAAGACCCATATACAAGTCCTGTCTTATCACTTGTTCCTTCATGACCCTAGCCATCTAATAGATGCTTTAAACTTATTACAGACAAACTGAATTACCGATTCTTGTCCTTAAATCCACTCACCCTCAAAGTATTTCTCATTGCTTTTTGGTCCCACACTGTGTGCTCATTTGATTTGGTCAAAAATGTGTAAGTCACCCTTGATTCCTTTTCCCTTCAAATCTCATAACCAGTAAGAGCAAAACAAAACAAAAGGCAAAAAAACCCACAAAAAAAACCCAAAAACAAAACAAAGAACACGTAATACTTACTGACCACCATGTAACCAATTAAATTATTTACTCATCAACACACCCTTTTTAGGTAAGTTACTAAAAATGGTCTCATTTGCTGATGAGAAAACTGAAGCATGGAGTGGTTAAAAACCTCATCCAACATCACAGAGCTAATAAGCGGCAGAGTGAGGATCCAAATCTGGGTCATGTCATCTATCTCCTAAATATTATAGTATATTGTCTGCCCCTCTAATGTGCTGCTACCTCACCATTAAGTCCTATTGGCTCTACTTTCAAAGCATGTCTCTAACACACCACTTCTCTCCATCTCTACAGCAACTATCACCCTACTCAAGTCATTATGCTCTTTCTCTTGGTCAACTAACTGTTCCACCTAACTCAGTCTCACCCCACCATCCACAGCAGTCCATCCTGCAAGGAGCAATGAGGGTAATTTTCCTAAAAAGTGTATGTCCGACCATCTCACTAATATCCTACTCCCCACCCAACCCCCACATGCATATACACACACAGTTTAAAACTCTCCAGTGGCTTCCTATTGTCCACAGAATAAGAACCAAAGTGCTTACCATGGCCTGCCAGGCCCTACATGATCCATCTCCTGCCTACC